ATCTTGGTGTTCCGCTCAACAGAAATACAAATCGCACAGCTAGTGACGCGTTTTAACTCCTGGCATGTCCATTTGAGGGTTTCCTGCGAAGTCGAACAACAGAACTGTCTTCCATATTTAGATGCTCTCATCAGCCGCAGAGAGAACGGATTGATAAAAAGGTCTGTCTACCGAAAAACAACGTGGTCGGGACAATATCTGCCTTTTGCCAGTTTTACGCCAATACGGCACAAGCGAACGCTTGTCAAGACCCCACTTAGTCGCGCCAGACGAAAATGTTCGACCGGTTGTCTAGCCGATGAACTAGAACTACCAACGTGCTAACTGTTAATGATTACACTCAAAAATTTATCCGGAAGCACGGCCAAATCCGTGAAATGAAGATTGCTGTACCTAAGAAAAAGGTCTTCTTAGAGCTGCTGTTTAAGGGTGACATTGCTTCTTTGAGGACTACAAGACGTCTGCTTTCCGCCACACAGAGCACTTTCTGTGCTGCCGAAGTTGTAATCAACGACCGAACTCATAAGCTACTGTTGCCTCTGCTAAGTGAAACTCAGTATGTTGGGGCCAACTCCGTTTGAAAGGCCGTGTATACAAGGCCACAGTGAGGGCCGTTCTACTCTATAGTAGTGAGACTTGATCCCTTCGGTCTGAAGATCTGAGGCGCCTTCAAGTCTTTGATCATCGTTGTCTGCGAAGCATTGCTAGTGTCGGATGGCACCAGCTTGTCCGCAACAACGATGTGCGTAGGCGAGTACTACGTAGTGATAATCATGCTAGCTCCCTAGAACAACAGATAGCACGTGCTACGTATGCTTGGTCACCGCTTACCTAGAAGGGCCTTGTTCAGTCTACCAGGTGTAGGGTGACGCAAGACCCGAGGTGGATAGAAGTTGACTTGGCAGCGGGAAATGAAGTCACTGACGACCAAACTGGGTGCCGTTGGTCCGTCTCGCCTTCCGGGTTGGAGTCCATGTGACTCGTCTTATGCTTGGCTCGTGACTTTACAGAACATGGTTGCAGTAGACACCGGTGGCGCGTCTGCTGCCGTCTCCTAATCGGATTGCCTGTTTAAAGTGTGTTTGATGCTGAGTTATCTGCATGGTAATGGCTGATTATGACGCGGGGCAGTGAAAGCCGCAAGGAAGCTGTCTCGCCGAAACCGCCTTTGCACGATAGCCAACTGTTTGTGACCGTATGTTGTCTACACAAGGTGTAGGCGCCTTGATCCTGAATGTTTGCTTAGGGCATTAAGGTTTTCAGGTAAGTCCCCCTTCTCTCCCTCTTCTTATTCTTTATTTCATAGGTCCTAATGGTTGTATGACAGCGAAGCATCAGTTCAAATGACTGATGTACTGCTGTTGATGATGATGATGATGGGGCCAACCCCCACTGGGTACATCAATTCGTAGATAACTGCGGAGATAGTTACATAGGCAGAACCAATAGAACCCGAATAAAGGAGCGTGTACCAAAATGGGTTCAATGCGGCATTATTCAGCAAGTTAGCCCAAATCAGACTACGAGTGTTCGCAGGCGGCCGGCATCTTCGATCGGCAGACACATTTTGACATCGGGCCACCGAATTGAGGTTACAAGACGTTTGGAATCCTGCTTCGCCATACCAGTTCCCGGCTCCTCCGGTTTGCCGAGGCCATTGCCATTAACCGGATTAATCCAGCGCTTTGTGTGCAAAAACAATTATCGGTCAGCATCAGGATGCCCTGGTCGTAGAAGAAAGACACGCTTTTTCTCCCGTCTCTTTGTATGTATGTCTATACCCACAAACGGTTGTACAAAATTACCGGTTATCGGCACTGATGAGACAGTACGAAACGCATGCATCTGCAGACCTTCGTCTTCCAATTGTGCTTTTATTGGGATTGCTTGTGGACACATAGATGATACTAAACGTAGTGCGACAGTTTGCGTACCTACGTGACCTTTTGAGCTAGGTGATACTTTCCAAAAGCTTTCAGAACCACTCATACCAGACAGGTCAGATAAACTTCATAGGTGAATGTCGATGGCCCTTCTCTCTTAAAAAGTAGCTATAAGTGACAACAGGTTTACGGATTATAATCTCACAGCTCGATTAGCGTAGAGATCACTAGTGCCATGCATTGTATCTAACGATGGAAGGGTACCACTCGGCGCTCAGTGGTTTGCTACCGCCCACCTCAAGGCAAGTAGCCGCTGGTCAAATTGTTGCAAACCCACCGAATTTTACCGGCGGCTGACCGTAGTCGCAGGCAATATACTAAGGTGGGAAACTACTTGTAAATTGTTTTAAATCTTCAAAGGCTGCTTGTGACATATTCCAGTGGGTCTGCAATCACACTGTAGGGCTGGATTTACTTTTCACTACGTTGTGTCAGACCATTGAGTAAAATGCTGGAGGCAGGCTACCTTGAACAAAACTTTTTTGGAATGGACATCACCTGTCATCTCGACCTCGATAATAGTACTCTTTTTTCGTATCTATCTATCGTGCAAGAGTACCGCTGACCTCGCAGCTGCTGCTACCGTTAAATGTAACTCCTTCCTCAAACCAAGATTCTCATTACACATCGGTTCCTTTAAGGTCCGCATTCTGGATCAGATCGGCTAACAGGCAGCACCAACTCCCACTCTCTTGGTATTGATGAGCGCTGTCTCCGAAACATGCATACGTGATAACGAGTCTTCGACTCGCTGTTTCCGACGCGTGTTTCAAATGTTACTCTCAGCAGCCGAGGTTTCTCTACGTGCGGAGATGATGGATTTCGTGAAAAGTGTGTAAGACTGGTTGTGAGAACTTTCAGTCCGAGTGCACAGGTTATGTCAGCCCAACGGATTTGCTCTTCGGCTTGTCTACATTTGAGCAATTCACTAGTGGGTTCTGGGACATCTGAACATATCACTATCATCGCCTTTGATTGTATGGTAACTGCCTGTTCTGATGTTTCTTTTGAACGGGGATGTGTCGTGTGGGCATATATGTCTTGTGTTGTGTGGACACAGCAAGACTTAATGTGCAACGGCGTTAGTTGTAATATATGTAGTAATCAAGTGTTACTGTTCAGCTAATAACGAAAGTACTGACGCAATTTGCGCATAACTCTGTATGCCTTATGGCATTTCGTAAGACTTGGGAGATCGTTCAGCCGACCTATTGTCACTGCTGTTTGTCACCCATTGTGTTCGTTTGTAGCTGAACGGTGCAGCACTTTTACTAGTCCTTGTATTTTAACTGGTCTAGGATTGGGGCTATGTGATACGCTATTTTACGAGTCCAGAGATTTTCCCTCCCAAGACCGCGACCAGTTCCTTTTGTTCTGCTGACGTAACAGCTAACATTTCACACCCCATAGTAAGCGTTTAAACTATCCTAAATATGGGACCATCTGAACATGTGTCGGTAGGCTGCTCCTTCCGTTACGTTTTAACTTCACATTTGCTGCGTCGTAGGAGCTGGCACAGAACGAGCATGTGGTTCTGAGATGAGGCCTCTGTTGCTAGCTTGTTCGAGGTAGTGGGTAGACAGGTAGTCACCTTATCAACAAGCGCAGCCACACCGGGGATGTCAAACAACAGCCAATCACTTTAAATAACATTATCAAATAAAATATATCTCCTAAAGCATACAGCTTTGTCGACATAACTCTTCGCTAAATTTGCACATGAAGTAAGTTGGTAAGCAACGAACCTGCGATAAGTACAAAATATCCACAAGTTATTCTAAAAATGCCACGATAACCACAATTAGCGTAAGCAACGTGTGCAAGTTAATAAAAGATTATTTAGGTAGGCAGAACAAACCACAATGTATCCAGCGTAAAAAGACCAAGTGTAAGTAGCTTTAGCCCAACTGCGGTGAAGCATCATGTATGCAACATCAGCCACAGCATGGGGCATATATATATATATATATATATATATATATATATATATATATATATATATATATATAAAGTCCATAATAAGACATCGAGCCTACGAAAAATCCACTGCCTGCAGACCTCACACGGCTAGTCCTCGTGAGAACCGATTCGATAAAAGCCAGATTGGCTTTCGCCCTGGTCGTGGTTTCATCGGCTGCGTACTTACTTCGTCAAGTGTGAACAGTGGTTAGAACGAAACGTGTTCGATCTATTTAAACCATACTCAAATGATACAGCGTTTGTGTCCGAGTGACGTATATTCATTTTCACTCTGAACTTGTCAAGCCAAAGCGCTGCTCGGTATCGCCAATAGAGCGGCCGTATGGTATCACATTCCTTTATCACTAAGCACATAAGTGTGACGGTCGATTTTTTTATTGTCGTGTCTGTTCGGCACGCACAAGCTATCACCATTTGACAGCAAGCTGATCTGCCGATATTTGCAAGCATCACCTACCAGGAAAGTCGGTTGTAGGGGTCATCTGTCGACTCCATGTCTCACATACACGGCCTAGGTTGCACGAATAGGTTAACAGCGCAACCTACGCATTTAGAAATACAGGTTACAGTGAAATCACGTATCATGATGTCTCGTAACTACATCACAGACTTTTTGAAAGTGGTCGTAGAGGGTTATTTTTTGGCCTGTTCTTCATGTACCACTGATATACGTACCATGAACGGTTCAGTTTTCAACTTTTATGCGTGTGGTTTTTCAGAAAACACAATATATATCACAAGCTTGTTTTGATTGGTTGCGTTCCTTTCTTTTCAGAAGTCATCTGAACTCATACGGGAATTGGAGAATAACATCGAAAATAGAAAACGCAAGGCCGAATCCTACCACCAAGAGAATATTCGACGTCGCCACAATTATCTTCCGCTCATTGTGGAGCTGTTCCGCATCCTAGCCGAAAACTCAGCTCTGGTGGATTCGGTTAACAAAGCAAAAGCAGTGGCTCAGGAAAGGAAAAACGCGAGAGCAGCAGCAAGCAAATCATAATCTTAGTTGTGCGGTATACAGAAAATACAAAATAGAAAAAAGTCGCATTTCATATTTTCCTTTTATCAACAACCTTATGCGGTGACTGAGATGTGTTCCCGCAAATGATCGTTAACCACGTCTACGTTTTCCGACTGGGCTTGTCTCCCAGACTCCATTCTCATGGCGTTGCGCAACAAAAACGCGCAGCTCCCCGTGAGTATTGACAGTATTACGCCAAGCGCTATACCAAATCCGTCGATAATCGGCGAAGCGCTGCGATACCAACGCACATAACGCGCACCGGAAACGGTTCGGCTCTTCATCCAGCCTGGGGCAGTCGGTATTCCTCCAGAAGAGAGGACAAATCTGGAGGCTAAATCCAACAGGGTACGATAGCATTGCTCGGAGCCGTTGTAATCTGCAATCACAGGTCCTCATGGTTGTATGACAGCGAAGCATCAGTTCAAATGACTGATGTACTGCTGTTGATGATGATGATGATGGGGCCAACCCCCACTGGGTACATCAATTCGTAGATAACTGCGGAGATAGTTACATAGGCAGAACCAATAGAACCCGAATAAAGGAGCGTGTACCAAAATGGGTTCAATGCGGCATTATACAGCAAGTTAGCCCAAATCAGACTACGAGTGTTCGCAGGCGGCCGGCATCTTCGATCGGCAGACACATTTTGACATCGGGCCACCGAATTGAGGTTACAAGACGTTTGGAATCCTACTTCGCCATACCAGTTCCCGGCTCCTCCGGTTTGCCGAGGCCATTGCCATTAACCGGATTAATCCAGCGCTTTGTGTGCAAAAACAATTATCGGTCAGCATCAGGATGCCCTGGTCGTAGAAGAAAGACACGCTTTTTCTCCCGTCTCTTTGTATGTATGTCTATACCCACAAACGGTTGTATAAAATTACCGGTTATCGGCACTGATGAGACAGTACGAAACGCATGCATCTGCAGACCTTCGTCTTCCATTTGTGCTTTTATTGGGATTGCTTGTGGATACATAAATGATACCAAACGTAGTGCGATAGTTTGCGTACCTACGTGACCTTTTGAGCTAGGTGATACTTTCCAAAAGCTTTCAGAACCACTCATACCAGACAGGTCAGATAAACTTCATAGGTGAATGTCGATGGCCCTTCTCTCTTAAAAAGTAGCTATAAGTGACAACAGGTTTACGGATTATAATCTCACAGCTCGATTAGCGTAGAGATCACTAGTGCCATGCATTGTATCTAACGATGGAAGGGTACCACTCGGCGCTCAGTGGTTTGCTACCGCCCACCTCAAGGCAAGTAGCCGCTGGTCAAATTGTTGCAAACCCACCGAATTTTACCGGCGGCTGACCGTAGTCGCAGGCAATATACTAAGGTGGGAAACTACTTGTAAATTGTTTTAAATCTTCAAAGGCTGCTTGTGACATATTCCAGTGGGTCTGCAATCACACTGTAGGGCTGGATTTACTTTTCACTACGTTGTGTCAGACTATTGAGTCAAATGCTGGAGGCAGGCTACCTTGAACAAAACTTTTTTGGAATGGACGTCACCTGTCATCTCGACCCCGATAATAGTACTCTTTTTTGTATCTATCTATCGTGCAAGACCTCGCAGCTGCTGCTACCGTTAAATGTAACTCCTTCCTCCAACCAAGATACTTTAAGGTCCGCATTCTGGATCAGATCGGCCAACAGGCAGCACCAACTCCCACTCTCTTGGTATTGATGAGCGCTGTCTCCAAAACATGCATGCGCGATAACGAGTCTTGGACTCACTGCTTCCGACGCGTGTTTCATCGTCATCATCATCATCATTATACATGTCAGCTAGAGATGGTAAAACACCTCCGCTATTGTACCGCAATACATAAAGGAAATACACACATACATACAATACATAAAGGAAAAATAAATACGACAGTTGAATGCCAGCTGAGCTACCAGCAACGGATACGCATCGCTCCGGTAAGCTACTAGCTGGCTACTAGGCAAAAACAAAAATTTAATTACGTTTTACCCTACGAAATAAGATCGTAGATGGAGGGGGAGGCTAAAGGGATGGGGAGGGACAAAGAAACTCAGAGCAGGAACGCCACTGAGGTCGGCTCCTTGCCATATCAGCAAGTGTATCCAGCCAAACGTGTTCACCGTCTTTTGGACCCCAACCAGGAAGCCGTGAAGCTCCAACCGAGGCCAGCTCAGAAGTGAGGGCCTTCATTCCTCTGGACAAAGTCATCGCTTGGCCACCTCTCCTCTTCTTCCACCCACATCCCCAATGAGCAAACAACGCACGTCGAGGGAGTCGGTGGGCTGGCATGCGCAACACGTGGCCCAGCCATCGGAGCCTGGTGAGTGAAATGACGGTGCTGAGCGGTTCATTCCCTTTTCCTAGGCCGTAAACAAGGCGTCGAACACGCTCGTTACTCACGCGGTGTTCCCACTAGATGTGAGCCAAACTGCGAAGGCACCGATGGTCGAACGTAAGTAGCCTCTTCATGTCCGCCGATCTTAGGGGCCAGGTTTCGCAACCGTACAGTAAGGTCGAACGTACCGCTGCATTGTACACTCTACCCTTCAGGGCGAGAGTAATGTCGCGCCGTCGCCATAGGTGGCGAAGGTTAGCAAAAGCACTTCGAGCTTTCGCTATACGGTTCGTGATCTCGTCTTCGATCCCAAGGGCGCTGATACAACTTCCCAGGTAATTGAATTTCTGAACGACCTCTAGCTGATCCCCACCAAGGGTCAGCACAGGGGGCGAACCCTGCCAATCCTGGAGGAACGCTTTGCACTTCGGTGGTGCAAAGCAAAGCCCGAAGCGACTGACAGCCAGTGCTAATCTGTCCAGCGCGGCTTGACACGTCTGGGAGCTGTCACAGATGAGGGCAATGTCGTCTGCATACTCTAAGTCAAGAAGTCGTTCTCCTGGGAGTAGCTCCACACCTTCCAAGTCATGTCCTGTAAATGCAATCTCCATGACTTCGTCAATAGCGAAGTTGAATAGGAAAGGTGACAGCGGGCATCCTTGTCTCACACCGCTGGAGATATTGAAGGGTGGCGACAGCTTGCCGTAAGCCCTCACTCTGCCCGTGCTACGCGCATATAATGCTTGGATAATATTTACATATTTCTCGGGCACACCTTTCCTGAGTAGACAATTCCAAAGGGCACATCGATCAACCGAATCGAAGGCACCTTTGATGTCGAGGAACACGACTACGGTGGGCCGCCAATATGTGTGACGGTGCTCCAACAACTGACGCAAGGTGAAGATGTGGTCGATGCAGCCACGACCCCGACGAAACCCGGCTTGCTCCTCACGAATCTGGCTTTCACGAGCGCCAGTCAGTCTGTGGAGAATTATGGACGCGAGTAATTTGGAGGCGATGGAGATCAGACTGATTCCTCTATGGTTGCCGCATTCCGAGCGCGAGCCGCCTTTGAAGATGGGAACAATAACGGAGCGGCTCCAGTCGGTTGGGACAGTTTCCTGCTCCCACAGTTTCACTAGTAATTCATGCAAAGCATCAACAAGAGCAGAGCCTCCAGATTTGAAGAGGGCTGGAGGAAGATCATCTGGTCCCGCGGCTTTGTTCAACTTCAACAGTCCGATCTCACGTTCGACTTCTGAGCGAGAGGGTGGATCCAAAGGGACAGCCCACGGAGCGGGGCGATCAGTGACCGGTGAATCGAACAATTCTTGCCGATTAAATTGCTTTTCAAAATGCTCAGCCCAACACTCCAGACGTTTTGACAAATTGTGGATAGGCTGTCCACTCGTCACGTATAGTTTCACTAACACCAGGTCTCCTGCTGCCCGTTTCCCGTATCAGACGGAATAACTTACGATGGTTGCCAAGGGCAGCGGCCACTTCCATCTCTGACGCACGATGAGACCACAGGATTCGCGGTCTCTCTTCAGGCTAGCACGGAGTTTTGCCCGGAGCGACGCGTGTTTCAAATGTTACTCTCAGCAACCGAGGTTTCTCTACGTGCGGCGATGATGGATTTCGTGAAAAGTGTGTAGGACTAGTTGGGAGAACTTTAAATCCGAGCGCGTATGTTATGTCAGCCCAGCGCTATTGCTCCTCGGCTTGTCTATATTTGAGCAATTCACTAGTGGGTTCTGGGACATCTGAACATATCACTATCATCGCCTTTGATTGTATGGTAACTGCCTGTTCTGATGTTTCTTTTGAACGGGGATTTGTCGTGTGGACATATTTATCTTGTGTTGTGTGGATACAGCAAGACAGCAATGTGCAACGCCGCTAGTTGTAATCTATATAGTAGTCAAGTGTCGCTGTCCAGCTAATAACGAAAGTACTGACGCAATTTGCGCATAACTCTGCATGTCTTATGACATGTCGTGAGACTTGGGAGATCGTTCAACCGACCTGTTGTCACTGCTGTTTGTCACCCATTGTGTTCGTTTGTAGCTGAACGGTGCGGCACTTTTACTAGAGTCTTTGTATTTTAACTGGTCTAGGATTGGGGCTACGTAATACGCTATTTTACGAGTCCAGAGATTTTCCCTCCCAAGACCGCGACCAGTTCCTTTTGTTCTGCTGACGTAACAGCTAACGTTTCACACCCCATAGTAAGCGTTTAAACTATCCTAAATATGGGACCATCTGAACATGTGTCGGTAGGCTGCTCCTTCCGTGTTACGTCTTAACTTCACGTTTGCTGCGTCGTAGGAGCTGGCACAGAACGAGCATGTGGTTCTGAGATGAGACCTCTGTTGCTAGCTTGTTCGAGGTAGTGGGTAATAGACAGGTAGTCACCTTATCAACAAGCGCAGCCACACCGGGGATGTCAGACAACAGCCAATCACTTTACATAACATTATCAAATAAAATATATCTCCTAAAGCATACAGCTTTGTCGACATAACTCTTCGCTAAATTTGCACATGAAGTAAGTTGGTAAGCAACGAACCTGCGATAAGTACAAAATATCCACAAGTTATTCTAAAAATGCCACGATAACCACAATTAGCGTAAGCAACGTGTGCAAGTTAATAAAAGATTATTTAGGTAGGCAGAACAAACCACAATGTATCCAGCGTAAAAAGACCAAGTGTAAGTAGCTTTAGCCCAACTGCGGTGAAGCATCATGAATGCAACATCAGCCACAGCATGGGGCATATATATATATATATATATATATATATATATATATATATATATATATATATATATATAAAGTCCATAATAAGACATCGAGCCTACGAAAAATCCACTGCCTGCAGACCTCACACGGCTAGTCCTCGTGAGAACCGATTCGATAAAAGCCAGATTGGCTTTCGCCCTGGTCGTGGTTTCATCGGCTGCGTACTTACTTCGTCAAGTGTGAACAGTGGTTAGAACGAAACGTGTTCGATCTATTTAAACCATACTCAAATGATACAGCGTTTGTGTCCGAGTGACGTATATTCATTTTCACTCTGAACTTGTCAAGCCAAAGCGCTGCTCGGTATCGCCAATAGAGCGGCCGTATGGTATCACATTCCTTTATCACTAAGCACATAAGTGTGACGGTCGATTTTTTTATTGTCGTGTCTGTTCTGCACGCACAAGCTATCACCATTTGACAGCAAGCTGATCTGCCGATATTTGAAAGCATCATCTACCAGAAAGGTCGGTTGTAGGGTCATCTGTCGACTCCATGTCTTACATACACGGCCTAAGTTGCACGAATAGGTTAACAGCGCAACCTACGCATTTAAACATGCACGTTACAGTGAAATCACGAATCATGATGTCACTTAATCACATCACAGACTTTTTGAAAGTGGTCTTAGACGGTTATTTTTTGGACTGTTTTTCATGTACCACTGATATACGGTTCAGTTTTCAACTTTCATGCGTGTGTTTTTCAGAAAGCACAATATATATCACACGCTTGTTTTCATTGGTTGCGTTCCTTTCTCTTCAGAAGTCATCTGAACTCATACGGGAATTGGAGAATAACATCGAAAATAGAAAACGCAAGGCCGAATCCTATCACCAAGAGAATATTCGACGTCGCCACAATTATCTTCCGCTCATTGTGGAGCTGTTCCGCATCCTAGCCGAAAACTCAGCTCTGGTGGATTCGGTTAACAAAGCAAAAGCAGTGGCTCAGGAAAGGAAAAACGCGAGAGCAGCAGCAAGCAAATCATAATCTCAGTTGTGCGGTATACAGAAAATACAAAATAGAAAAATGTCGCACTTCATATTTTCCTTTTATCAACAGCCTTATGCGGTGACTGAGATGTGTTCCCGCAAATGATCGTTAACCACGTCTACGTTTTCCGACTGGGCTTGTCTCCCAGACTCCATTCTCATGGCGTTGCGCAACAAAAACGCGCAGCTCCCCGTGAGTATTGACAGTATTACGCCAAGCGCTATACCAAATCCGTCGATAATCGGCGAAGCGCTGCGATACCAACGCACATAACGCGCACCGGAAACGGTTCGGCTCTTCATCCAGCCTGGGGCAGTCGGTATTCCTCCAGAAGAGAGGACAAATCTGGAGGCTAAATCCAACAGGGTACGATAGCATTGCTCGGAGCCGTTGTAATCTGCAATCAAAGTATAATGTGCAGCTGCTTAGCAGAAAATCACGTGACTCAACAAAAAAAGCATAGCATAGTATCGGACTACGCTAAATGTGACGAATGAAGAGTATCCCGTTGTCTTTTTGTATCTCCAAGTCATCTTGACGCTAACAGAAGAATAGGAATGTCAGCGGTACACTGGAACCTTGTGCCTACGCTTCGTTGTTATGCGAGCTGGGTTACTGCGATGTTGGTCTCAGTCTGCGGTGCTCCCCAATGATGGCTTTGCACAGATATTAACGCTTATATGATTGGGAACACTCGATATTGGGCCGGGAAAAAATATTTCAACTGCATAGACTATTTGAACGAGTACAAGGCAGAGTGAGGCTCTGAATCTGCGATTGGTATGCGTGTAGTTCTTTTGGCTATCAATTTGAATGCAACAGATGTATTTGTCATGGATAACGGATGAAACGATACTACGGAATATGAATACCAATATTTCTACTCCACTAATAGTTACACACTTCTAAACTGAACATCGGCTGGTTCTGTCGGCCTGATTCGGGTAGCCATGATAGTGAAAACTAGTTTAGTTTTAGTGTAAAAGTACAACTTCATCTCGCGCCTCTGACTGAACTTCACATTCACCCACTGCTTTACTGTGGTCCATGTGCATGAGATCGTCTGTTTGACACTTCCTATATTGACAATTAGTACACTGTCCTCTGCGGTGAAGTCTTTGTTCTAACGGTTCTGCACCCCCCATCAAACGCGGTTTTGGAGTACTTGTCTAGTACTCATCAGGTCTGATCTCTCGGGAGAGCAATGGGCTTAGTTTATCTGGGGTTCAACCGTTGATCTGCACAACTTGTCTTAAAGGTGTAGAGAAATCTTGCACGGCGGCCTGCAGTTCCCAGGGTGGGCCACGCTGGGGTCATGTTACAGCGACCAAGAGATTGCGCTCATAAGTTGCGAGGGGCTTGAATAAGCTTGCACAAGCAAAAACGCCAATTCCATCTAGATTTTTAGATGTTGGTTAACTTATCTTGTTTATGACTATCACCTATGTGATGTCTCCACAAAGGTGTGTGCTGAAAACAATTCGGTTGCATGTAATGATTTGGTTTTGCGTGCCGGGTACCGCCCACGATCTAAGAGTTGCAGCCTATATTTTTTTAGTCTTTTCCTATGGCAATCCGCCTATCATGCACTCCCGATAACTTTATAACTGACAGTCTGAACAAATCACTCAGAAGGGCAGCTGTTTAATTACACGACACTAGTATTCCGAAACATTTTAGACACAGATAGAACATCTCAAAAACACGAGCGTTCGCCAACTTTTATGGCATTAGCCATCCATTAAAGCAAACTAAATTGGGCTCTTAATCTACCAGTGAAATTAGGACACGCAATCTCAATTTTGACGGCCTTTCACTTTGATCCAGATCTATCACTTCGCTTATAAGGCTAAGCAAACAATCAATATCCCGGGAACCGAAATTTGAATCTCTAACCACACTGACAGGTGTGGCTCGCGATAATACGTCCGTCGGAGAACCGAGACATTCGGAGTTCGACTCTCAGCTTGGTCTGCAGTCGAAAAATCCAAACAATGCATTGTTAGCGGTGAGCAGCACTGATTAAGTCGGAAACTGCTTTTGTTAAATGCTCGACGGTCTGGAATAAGATACGAAAACTCACAGCCCATGAAGTAAACGTATGGATCGTCCACCTTCTGCGGCGGACAGTCTGTTGTGGCTGTTCTTTCGCCAGTCAAACCCATGAGCAAGACGTTCACAATATGTGATATCTTCAGTTCGTGCTTGTTCAGTGGCAAATAAGATTGTCCGGGGATAGGTGTGCCAAGATCGACAAGAAACTGGATGTCACTCGGGGTGAGGAACTAGGAAGACATCAAAAAATGAAACGTGAGTAGACACAGATGATAACATGTTCGTAAACTAGATTTCATAGAGTTCAACTTACGGGGCGAAAAAGCGAGCAATTAGGGTTGTTTACGAAGCAATCCATCAACTCTCCGGGAGTTGGTGAGGAGATTCTAGCAGGAACTGGTTTGGCATCTACGGTGATTATCTGAAAGTAAATGGAGGAATTTCATCACGAACCGCCTCAGGTGTGGCGTACCGGTATTAACTTTTGTGGCGAAATGTTACGGTGGTGGCGCGTAGATTTCTTAAGTGTTGTTAGGCAAGGAGGTCGGGAGTTGGTCAGATAGCTCGAGGTAACGCACACAGCTCACAGTGAACGAAATTTACGTGAAAACTGCTTACACGGTGAATGGCATCGCTAAGCGTGTTCGCGACGCCCAACAAAGCGTCATCAGCATCTGGAGCACCCACGGGAGGCCAACGAACGTCCAGAAAGCTTTCGAAATTCGGATCCCGAAGCGGAGAGCCAACGTGATCGAACAGGACCACGTGTGGAATAGGACGCGGAGCACGAGCTAGCAGGTTCTGCACTGAGACTGTCGGTGGCAATAGCGTATAAGAAGGGAACTCAGGTCTCGTGAAGGTAATTTGACCCATGTCCCTACTGGCGTTTTGCAACTGATCCATCAAGTAGTCTGTGATTGATCTCGTCTGAAAATAGTAGCAGACACAGTTGACGGGTGTGAACAGAAAATCCTGGATCCGGATAGGTTTGTATACCAAACAGCCTAAAAGTCGGGAGTGAACTAATGTCAAATAACAAGCGATCACAATTCTCAATGTTGGGCTACCGACGCCATAGCTAGTTCCATTTGAACTAACTGACTGACCGCACTTAGATCAACAGGTCGGTCGCCAGCAGCGACCTAAGCCTTAGGTCCCGAATCCGAGGGCATTTAATACGGCGTAAAAGATGCAAAAATTCAAGTTCACTCGCATAAAAGTGAAATCCAAGGAAATTGATTTGAACTTCAAAGCAATGAATACTGTTTGATGTGCCAAATCCGACTCCAATGACCAAAAGAAATGGAAAATACAGGCTAGACTGATAGCATTATTAGATACACAATACCAATACCGGCGGTGAGAACCGCTTACGCTTTGATAGATTTCGTTTTCTGTGAGGAGAGAATACATCCAGGTGGAGTCTTTACTTGGCAGGCCGATCTCGCCAAGTTCAATGATGCTATGTAAGTGTTCCCAGCCGAGCGCGATTCCCATATAGTTGGCCAGTAGCTGTTTCTGCAAATCGTAATCCAGACGGGTAGAACCCAAGAAGTCGTAAGCCTCGTTGTCCAAGAATGCGAAGAACAAATCTTTATTCACTTCCAAATTCTAAGTTCAGAGATGGAAGGGGGATGTAAACTGAGAATGAGCGTTTAGGCAAAAGGCCTCAACTTGTAAACAGAAGCAGCGCAAAGTGAACAAAGCCAGTCATCTCGTGGACCAAAAGTGCTACATGAAGCACTAAAATAGGAAGGTGGTGCGAAGAATGAGCGATCACAAAGAGTAGTGAAGCATGTCTGCAAAACCCTGTCCAAAGAATGTCCAGCCCGAAAGCAGACACTTAGGGGGGCCTCTAAAAAACAAGACAAATTTGGGTGGAGATTGGAAGCCGTTTCTGCTGTATAGGTCGTACTCGCAAGCCGACTACCTCAGCGTGCATTTTCTATCAATATGGCGCTTAGTCGGCTGAGTTTGCCAGTCAGGGACATGACAAAGAGTACGAAGAAGCTCACAGAAACGTCGAGTCCGGTTGGCGCTTGTTGTCTTTCTGGATGGAGTCCTCTGAATAGGGCATATCAGTGCCGGATACCTTACTGGATATGGCGGGGTCACGGAATCACTGGCATTTTACTATTGGCTCCCTAATTTCCGACTTAACCATTCCACCTAGTTATTCTACTTCTTGCCATATTATTATTATTACTCTTTGGCGACATGGATCAAGCCAGCTGGATCCACAGTTTTTAGGTACAAGGAGCATAGTTGATGCAGTTCGAATCATAGTGCAGTGTTCAAGGTCCTCATCAGTAGTTCCCATACGAGAAGTGGTAACGGCGAATTGGGAGGTATTAGGTGATAGGTTTTCCACTCCAGCAATCTGCCTGTATTCGGTGTTAACGTCTTGGAGATGCAATCGAGAAATCACAAAATAGATAAATAACAACGAAAACGAGAACTCACTTTTATGGATGGCTGCCGCATCAAGTGAACGGCGGTGGAAACCAGAACCGCTATAGCGGGAAGTGCACCCTGACTTGCGAAGCCACTTCGCTCGAACATGCTGCGCGAATCCATTCGGGTAAGGATTAGCAAGGAAGAATTTGCAGCACGCCCGATTCCATCGCCCACTCCGGATACGTTACGAGCCACTGAGGTATTTGTGGCGCTCAAGACGATATTGATGCCTGTCAGTTCATCGCAATACGTAGGGTTAGTCTATATGCAATAAAACAAAGATCTGCGAGTCGGAAGGAGGCAAACAACGGACCTACTCGTATTTGCAAAATGGGACGTCTGAAAGCACCAAAATGTGAGATGGATGAACCGTCAAACCAGAGCGAATCTCATCCAGGCGTTTAAGTCTAATAAGTCAACCCATCACTTCCCACTTGATTTCTCATCAGAAAACTGCCTGTTGGAGTTACGCATAGTCAGGACTCAGTTTACTGATGGGTCCAAATTTAACGGATACCGGAAATGCAAGATGTCACTTCTGATAGGAGAATACCCACCGAGACCTCAGGGTAATAAGGTGGAGCATGAGGCTATGTAAAAGGAAGGTGGTTCAATTCAGGTAAGTAGTTAAGATCCGAACCCCCAGTGAGCGATGTTGGCCCGCTTGTCTTTACACGCGTCCCGGTGATATTAACTGAAACTCTGATAACTAATAATGATAAAGCAAAATGAGTTTTTTAAGAGGAGTTATCCGACGGCAAAATGACGGAAAGTGTTACCGTCGTATGGCAGACAACTAAAGGAGAGTAATCAACATCTCGATGTTACATTAGACAGATCGATAACAAGAACCACATCATCACCAATACACGCTAGAGGTGAGAAACACTATACAAAAACATAAGATATATAAAGTGTAATACTAAACATTACAGAATACAAAAAATATATAAAGGCAATAATATAATGCTAAGTGTCACATTACGCTTGGTGTGTGAGATGCTAGTTGTAGGGGGGAGCTAAAGAAGAAGGGAACAGACAAAGACACTAACAACTAGCATCAGTTTTTTGACATCTCAACTAGTGTGTCTGATCAAACGTGTTCCTCATCCTTGGGGCCCTAGCCCGTCAGTCGGGAGACGGCAACTTTGGAGTGAGAGACTTATTATTCTTGGCCAAGTCATCGCTTGGCCTCTTCTCCTCTTCCACCAACACTCCGGGCGCGCAAAAAACGCGCGCCGCGGAAGTCGGTGTGCAGGCATGCGTAACACACGATGCAGCCGTCGGAGCCTGATGCGTTACATAACAGTGCTGAGTGGTTCACTCACTCTTCTTGCACCAAATACACGACGCCAAACACGCTCATGGCTCATGTGGTGTCCCCACTAGATGTGAGCTAAATTGCGAACAGCGATTGTCGAACATAACAAGTGTCTTTAGATCTGGTGATCTAATGGTCACATTTCGCAACCGCACAGGAGGATTAAACGGAAGGACGAGAGTAACATCGCACCGGTGCCATAGGTAGCGGAGATTATCAAAAACGCCTCTAGCTTTTGCTATACGGTTCGCGGTCTCATCCTCTGTTCCAATAGCGCTGATATAGTTGCTTGGATACTTGAATTTCCGGACGACTTTTAGACGGTCACCACCAAGGGTGGGTACATGCCAATCTTGGAGAAGGGCTTTGCATTTCGACGGTACAAGGCACAGCACGAAACAACTGACAGCCTATGTTAATTGGTCCACTGCTACTTAGCATTTGGGTAGCGGTCACAGATAACGGCAATGTCGTCAGCATACTTCAAGTCAAGAAGTCGATGACCTGGAAGCAGCTCCATACCTTGTACATCGTGCCCAATGAATGCAACTCTCATGACATCGTCGATGGCGAAGTTAAAAAGGAAAGGTGACAGCAGGCATCCCTGCCTTACACCGTTTGATATATATTGAAGAACGCCGATAGTTTGACATAAGCTCTCAATCTGTCCAAACTACGCGCGTACAGCGCTATGACACATACTATTCCTCAGCAGACAGCCCCAAAGGGCACATCAAACCACCGAATTGATGTCTGGGAACACGACTACGGTGGGTCGCCAATAGGTTTGGCGGTGTTCCAACAAGTGACGTGATGTAAAAATGTGGTCAATACAGACTAACTTTCGACGAAACCTGGCGTGCTCTTTGCGAATCTGGCTTTCATGAGAACCAATCTATGGAGGATAACAGAGGCAGCTGAGATCAAGATGATTCCTCTACCATTACCGCTGGCTCGCCGAACAACCTCATCGTGCCAGCTGGGCGGTTCGGGAATTTCCCGTTCCGGCGAATAGTTCGGCGGCAGTGTTTCAGGACGTGGTGGGTTTTCGCCGGGCAAGCGTTGTACCTATAAAAAGCCACAAATGTCCGTTTAACGTGGCGGGTGTGACTCGCCACTAAATAAAACCACTGCCCCTTGTCTCCTTGGAGACATTGTACACCGGCAAGAAATCCTAGCATGGGATCTTTTCTCCTTCGGGAGTGTTGGGCCCCTGGCATGGCTTATCGTCATCCGAAAGGCGTATGAACTGAGTGTCCAGTCAGCGGCTCCAACGGGTGCGAATCCCTCATCTCGCCCTGCTGCCTTGCGAGTTAGGCCCTTTGGCCAAAGGCTCGGGGCGGTGGTCCTCTAAGGCAACCTACCTACCTCGGCCTAGGCAACCGGGTAGTATCTCGCCTACTGACGAACCATAGACTTACAACCACAACCATTCACACGCTCTCTTGCTGCTATTCACTCATGTTACTATGCCAAGTTCACAAGCACACGCCACCATTGTACCTTCCCTTCCATTGTACCATTCACACCCATTTTTACCTGATTCTTCTACGGCGATCAACCCACCTACACCGATGAAGCTGTTCCTATGATATCTGCCAACTCAACCACATAGTCGTCAACAGAGAGCTGTCAGTCCCGAAGCCTCCCATATTTGTTCCTGCAACCCGGAACGCAGTTCAAACTTGCAGCCTTCAAGGTACGCAAATTACTGCAGATTGGTCAGCAAGCTGGACTTGCACGCACGTTAGAGACCATTGGAATTGATATCTGACGCCTGAATGAAACGCGACTCCAGGACTCCAACTCGGTCTACCAGCTGCCGTCACCGCTCTGCCCACGCACCTGCTTCCATGTCCGCCTCTCTGGTGACGCCAAGTCTGCCGCATCTGGGCATGCTGGTGTTGAAATCACCCTCAGTGCTAGAGCCGAGACCGCTCTGATTGGTTGGATTCCGATCAATAGTCGCCTTTGTGCGATGAGACTCCATGGCACTTGTAAAGTTAGCAGACGCCGAGTCGAAAAGCGTGCTTTTTCGTGATCTCTGCCTACGCGCCCACTGAATGTACCTCGGACACAGTCAAGGACCAGTTCTACCAGAAACTTTATGAGTTGCTCCTAAGAGCTACTAAAACAGACATCATTGTTTTGGTAGGCTTCAACGCGCGTCTGCTGCCATGTGAGCGCTATCTCGGGGGACCGCATGGATATGATGATGTTCACTCAGACAATGGAGAGAGACTGCTCAGTCTGTGTGCTGATCATCAACTATTCCTCTCCAGCACCAGCTTTTGTCATCCTTGACGCCAGTACGCCACTTGGCGTCCCACATCATCAACCCAGCGCTGATCACAGATGGACCACATAGCCATAAGTCGCAGGTGGCGCGGTAGCGTAGGCGACTGTCGACCATTTTAATCAACATGCGTCGATACCGATCATGCACTGGTATGTGCGACCGTTTGCATGCGCTTCGTTGGTTCACCTAGGTCATAATCCACCTGACCGAACACCTACAAGTTGGAGGACCCAATGGTGAAAAAGTATCAACAAAGGCTTCGTGAAAATCCCGCTCTATCTCCCACTCTGGGTGTTGATCAACATTGGTCAAGTCTGCAACAAGCCTTGCTGTCGGTCGGTTTGTCCAGCTGTGGCCTCGCTCGCTCCACCTCCAAAAGCTGGATCTCGGGAAGATCCTCGGAACTGCTGGATCGACCACGGGCGGTGCCTGCTGGCGCAGTGCACAACGAACACCGCCGGTCTAGTACGCAAGCAAGCAAGCCTTCGCTCTGATAGTGAAACTTGGTGGTCAAAACAAGCTAATGAGATGGAAGCCACTGCATCAGCTGGCAACTTCCGTCTATTTTGCATCATCAGGGCCACCGGTTGCAATTCCCACGCTATCAGCCAGACGATTTGCGAATCAGACGGCACGAAGATCACCAACCTTCACAGGCGATTGGGTCGCTGGGCAGAACATTTCGCTCTTAAATACAAGCACCCAACACAGCACCCTGTGGCACCTAAAACCCAAATGGATAATGCTTGCCCACTCTCCACAGCCCCCCCCCCCCCAAATGAGGCAGAGATCCGAGATGCAATCCGATCTTTGAAACGCCACAAGACTCCGGGTCCCGACAGCCTACCACCGGCTCTATTCAAAGATGGCGGGAGTGTACTTATCAGCGAAATCCTATCGCTGTTCACGAAAGTTTGACTGAGGAGTAGGTTCCAAACTCATGGGGAGAATCGGTCATTGTTCCGATTCACAAGAAAGACTCCCGCGACGACTGCTGCAACTACCGCGGAATCTCGTTAATCTCCGTCGCATCCAAAATCTTCGTGTCTGTTCTACTTCGCAGGGTTTCAACGACTAGAGAGGAGTTTTCCTGAGAACAAGCCGGATTCCGTCCAGGCCGCAGCTGCATCGACCAAGTCTTCACGCTTTGCCAACTTCCCGAACTCCGTCACGTCCACCGGCGGCTAACAATCGTAGTGTTTTTGGACATCCGAGCGGCATTTGATTCAGTAGATAGGTCTGCGCTGTGAAACGGTTTACTGAAGAAGGGTTTGCCCGACAAATTCTGAAAGAACTTCACAGTCACACGTCGGGCAAAATCAGGGCTTACGGCACGCTCTCTTCTTCATTTGCTGTGACCAGTGGTGTTCGCCAAGGTTGCTCTATTTCACCTTTCCTCTTCGATTTCACCATCGAAGATGTTGTCCAAGGCGCACTGGGTGTCGGGAACTGCGATGTTGAGCTCCTCTCTGGAGACAGAGTCACGGACTTGGACTACACCGATGATATCGCCTTGTTGGGGGACGACTCACAAACCGTCCAGAGCGCTTTGGACCGCTTAGCGATGGAGGCGTCTAAGTATGGCTTATGCTTCACTCCGGGAAAATTTAAAACGCTGCTCCAGGATTGGCAGGTGCCTGA